CAGACGAAATCAGGAGGTTAGAAGACCTGAAGAGGAGAGCTGAGGGGAGTAAAAATTAAGTGAGGAGATGGTGCGATAAGAGGAATGAGGACTGAAGGTTGATTGAGAGGAGGAGGACAGGGAGAAGAGAGCAGATGAGTGTATATGTTAGTTTATTGATTGTTAACTGGTCTGTCCTCACGTTCTGTTGTCATGAGATAAGACACAGAAGCATTTTTCTCCCCCTGCACACACAAACACACACACACACCTGTCCCTAATGTTTTAAAGGATCATGATTGATTGCCGAGCAGCAGGTTTGACATTGAGCCCAAAGAAGACTCAGCAGTAGGTCCTGCCATGTCTGATATCACTATCATACCTCTGTCTTTGTTCACGTGTGACTCCTGGTGTGTGTCTGTGTGTGTGTGTTTGTGCACGTGTGTTCATCCCACCAGGTGACTACAGAAAGGGAGCTTAGAGGCCAATGCTCTTGCTGTGCCAGTAAATCACCCTACTAAAATATTAACATGTTGGAGCATGGGGGTATGTATGAGAGGAGAGGGATCCACTATGTGACTGTGGGAGAGTAACACTGACGTCACAGTGGTACATCGTGTCCTGTGCGAGCTGAAGAATTTTTATTTGTCTGTTTGAAATGTAAGCTTTAAAATAAATCACTTTAGATCAGTGGTTTCTAATGTTTACCCATTGTATTGTACACCAGCATGACAGTAAGTTTGCCTGTCTCATAGTCTCGATCCTGTGCTCTGTTAGGCCTCAGAATGGCTCTATGATCCTCTACAACCGTAAAAAGGTGAAGTACAGGAAAGATGGCTACTGCTGGAAGAAGAGGAAAGACGGGAAAACTACCCGAGAGGATCATATGAAGCTAAAAGTCCAGGGAGTAGAGGTAAGAGGCTACAGTGGAAAAACAAGTCGATGATTTGCTGCCATGTGTGGTTTCACTGCCAATCTTGTCCTTAATTTACTCTTCTCGACTTTGAGGAGACACATACGTGTAGCACAAATGAACACATGAAACGCTGAGTCTACTGGCCAATTTGTGCCCTGAAAGTGAGTGGTGCCCCTATTTCTTTCCCGTTCTCCATGCTCCAGTCCCCGTCTTGCTTCCTCTCTCTTTCTGAAGGATAAGAGCGTGTTTGGCCTGAGGCCAGAAATGATGTCAATGCCTCCTTCAGCAGAACAGAGAGGGGTATCGATCCAGTCTCAAGGCAGCGTCTGTGCATGTGTGTGAGTGTGTGTGTTTGAGTCACTTCAGCCAGCTCAGAAATTGATTATTCAGCAGGAATGTAGCAGGAGGTGAGAGGAGTGAGCATGCATGTGTCAAAAACAGAAAGAATGAGGTAGAGAAGGGAGCAATGGAGAGACTCTGATGAGGCACATGGATGTTTACAGGAGATTCAGTGGTTTTTGCATTAAAGGTGAGCAGGAAACAGGTCAAAAAAAGGAATAATTGAGATCAAGTACTCCTCAATCATTCGCAAGTCTCTCTCAAATGCTAGTATTCATCTCCTGTGTATTTCCTGTGTACTGAAGCTGTACACAATTCACATACTCAAACAAACAGGCGCAGAAAGAAAAGTGTTTGTCTCTCTGGTACTTGGTCAGTAATTGTTTATGTCACTTCTTTCCAGGACCCCTGAAGCAAGCAAGTAAGCAGGGTGTAGAGCAGGGGATCGGAATGAGGGAACAGAGAGGAGAGATGAGCAGAGAGAAAAAGAAGAAGGGAAGGGAGAGGCAGGAAGCATTAGAGAAAAAAAATACATAACCCTGGATGGAGAGCCTCCTCATATCGAATGGAAATATATGGAAATGCACTTTGCCTTTGGCAAAACACACTTTAGATAGAGAGCGTGCTACTTCTGAGAAGAGAAAAAATGGTGACAAGTGTGAATGAGAAGGAAAACAGAACAAGCTATAAGTGTAAATTGCTTTCTGTTTGATTGTGAAGTATTTATGTTTGGGGTAATTTTGTCTTTAAAAACTGCAGCCTCATATGTTTTTGTGAATGTGTGTGTGGGGGGAGTGGTGGATTTTACTTCAAGTGTGGCAGTGGTGACATTGATGGAAGGTTTTCCTGCCATCACTTCATCCTTCATTTGTTAAAAACAACACCACATTTCTCAATAAAGTTTGAAATATTTCTAAGGCCGAGGAAGTATGTTAACAACACAAAATACTACTACTTTTTTTAATTGGGACTCTGGCCTGCGTACATAATCTCTTTCTACCACATGAGATGCAAATGACAAATAAATCTCTGAATCTCTGAAAAGTAACTAGAAAGATATATTCTTTATGTTACGATTCAGAAACATTATTTTTGTTTGCTGCATCTCTGGTCAATATTTCAAACTGCATTAAATATACAGACAATCTGGAGTTGTTCAAAGTTACTGATTGTTAAAACATATTTGGTGGATTTTTCACACTCGAACATGTACAAATTTTACTTTTATATAAGTATCCTGAACTTTGCCTTAACCCTCCATGGCTTAATTTTTCCTCACTGATGGTCCACTTTCACTTTGTGTTCCTCTTGTGGTTTCCTCATGGTCATTGTCCGCTTCACTGTTACGGATCTCTCCTTAAAGTGTATAACTTGGTAACTTTTTGTGAATTCACAATAGGCTGCTCCCTTTCTTGCAGAGGCAGTGAATTTCACAGTCTGTTGTGCTGTTATTGTCCACATCAGATTGATGGTATTTTAGAAAAGACATTAGGGAGAGAAAAAAACACATACAGCATGTTTGCAATTTACTTTCAGCACCACAATCAATACAACCTAAGTGGGTATAACCTAAGTTCTCCTCTCCTGTTCTCTCCCTCACTGTCCTCTCCTACTCTACTTTTGCAATTTTTGTCTTGCTTCCTTCCGTTTTTTTTTTTTTTTCTTGTTAACCATCTCCTCTCCTTTCCTCTCCTGTCCTCTCCTTTCTCCAGTGTCTGTATGGCTGCTACGTCCACTCCTCCATCATCCCCACCTTCCATCGTAGATGCTATTGGCTGCTGCAGGTAAGCTCACCGCCCTTCCCCACCTTACCGCTCTCTCTCTCTCACATACATACATTTAAACACAAGCAAAACAGGATTTTGTCTGAAGTTATGCTACACTGACTGCTTATCATTTTGAGCCTTTTCCCCTCACACACTGTTGCCGCATGTAGCATTATTTTCAACCTACGTATAGTTTCACCTTTTAGATTTTCAAACAGTCAAGCCATACATAGGCCCGCCACAATAACAAATTTTGCTGGGCGATTAATTGTCTCAGAGATTATTGCGATAAACGATAATATTGTTTGAAATCTGACAATAATTAGTAATTATTGTCAAATTTAAGAAGAAATGTTTAATTTGTTTTGCGTGTAGTACCTTTTTCAACCACCGGATGGTAGTATAAGGCTGTTTGAACCGAAGGATGGATAGTGAGGGAACGAGCAGTGTGTCTCTTTAAGAAAAATGGGAGGGCGGCCCCTTGACGTGACATGGGCTGTCTCTCTTCGGTTTTCAAAATGGCGGACGCTCGGTGTGGTTTGAGCTCTTTAGCATAACATTTTTCACACAAAGCTTTAAAAAAAAAATCAGTAAACAAGTTCTCAGCTTCTTTTTGCTGAGAAAAACAACTTTTTGCACAAAGGCACAGGTTTCAACCGTGAATTTTGGAGCTTCGACAAGACGGAGGTTTTTTTTTCCCCGAGGTCGGCCTGTTAGCTTAGTTCCTAGCTTAGCTGCTTTTAACGATCCAAAAAGGCAATTGTGGGCAGTTAAAACAGATTAGGAGAAAGGGAGGGGTCAGTGAAGAGCACCAGAGTTGAGCTTTTTGTCATCCAGTGTCCAGTAGAAAGAGAGAGACACGTAGAAACGATAAAGCCGATAAATGAAAATGAGGTTGATAATTTTCATTTATCATGCAATTAATTGATTTATTGTTTATCACAACTGGCCTATACACTAACAATAAAAGTCCCCCTCTTCTAAATTAATGAGGCCAATTCAGACTGCTGAAAATACATCCACAAAACTGCGTTAACAACAAAACTTAATGTTGTTTGCATTACCACTGTGGAGCATATTGGATATATGGGTTCTACAAAACACCACACTATGCAGGGTGGTAAAAATAATTTCACAGGAGTGGACTGTATCTTCCCGAGAACAGTGTGTTACCTAACCCTGACTTTCACTACTTGGATCAAGGACTCGGGTGCATCCTTCCATGTGGTCTTTTTGAAGAAAATGTCCTCGAGCTATAAAAGCACACACACAACATATGCTCCCCCACACACACATGCTCAACACAGGTGTCCCCTATGTGTACAGGCCTGTTGCCTTTAAAAAAAATGTTGGCCTCACTCTTCTGCTTATGTGAGGAACGTCAGAGCTTATGTCTTGCACAAGTACATACACTCACACACTCAAACACACACATGCAGGTCTCTCCCTCTGTTTGCCATGCATGGAATGACCGCCAGAACCTCATCATCCTCAGATGACACGTTACTCGATGAATCTCGGCCATGTCTGCATACATTTAAACGGCCTCACTTTTCATCGCTTCATTTTCATTGCAAACTTTAGGAAGTGCATTTAAAATATGAGCATGCATACTCATTTATGTGGTTGTCATCGAGATATTTTTTTGCGTAATTTGTCATGTTAAAAATCACAAGAAAATTGTCGTCTACATCTGTAAATTGAAATATTATGCCCACACCCAATATGTTTTTTTTTTCCAGCATGCCACACTAGTTAGAATCGTGCAGCCTGAAAACGGAAAAGGGAAATTTGACTTGCTTTATCTGTAATGTGCCATTTTCTGCTCTTTGCACCGATATCAAAACACATCACTGAATATGATCATAAATCAGTCCATGAAAGCTGTTGCACTGCGGAGTGTGGTGCTGTAGAAGCCCACTGTGTAAGGATCCCACTGCCTGCAGCCTGCCTTGCTGATGGCCGCTGAT